ACCACGGATTGTCCACCTATATATGGGAAAAAAAAATTGTACATCTTTGTCATCAATCTAATATAAGCTCTCTACAAAGTTTTTTTTATACACAGGATATCATTGTAGTGCATTTGTTTAAACATGCATGTGCATACATGTATATAAACTGTTTTATAACAATATGTTTGTACAATATAAATAAATTAAGGAAATTTTTGATAACTCATTTTTAGTACTAATCCATACCTGATATCAGGGGTGGGGAGACCTACAGCCTGGCAATGGAGCTTGACATCTTCCTTGTATGTGGCAACATACTCATCATCAAAGGATGCAATCTTGGCAGGGACTTAAGACAAAAAAAAGTATTAGAGACATTACTTAAAGTTACCAAGGAAATGAAAAACTACTTTTCATGATCTATACCATACCATGGTAGATGTGAGTGATATAAGACAAATATTCTGAAGAGTAGTAATCCGAGTAGCAAACTACACTATAATCAGTAGAATCTGTAAAACTTAAAAATTTCTATTAGATGCAACAAAAACAAAAGCTATGGAAATTGTATACACCTTTGCTTGAGAGCTTCAGATGGACAGATTCAGACTTTTCTCCTTCTCCAATGGTTGTAGAGGCTGTTACCCAAAAGACATATTCATCACGTTGTTTCAGTCCATTTGCTTCGTAGTTCAGTTGAGATGATAGTAGTTTCTCCTGCTCTGCCTATATACAAAGTATCCCAACTATTAATCTCCAAAGCTATATAACAAATACAAAACAATAAACTAATATTTTTGATAAAGACATAATATAACATTGGATCTTAATGTTTTATGAAACATATTCACATGAGCATAGTTCTTACCTCACTGTCACTCTTTCCCTCTTCCTTGAAGTATACAGTATACTGAGTAATGATGCCATTAGGGCGGTCTGGGGGTAGCCAAGATACCAGGATGGAGTCAGCTGACATAACCAGAGCCTTGACAGATGTGGGGGCATCAGGGACTGAGAAGAGGACAGAAATATATTAGCCTTTTGTGATGATAAATCAACAGATCAAATACATCAATTCTTTTAAATATACATACAATACATACAGCAAAACTTCCTTCTGAACTAAGGTTCATATGCCAGAGGCTTCAGACTAGTTTAATCCTCTTACCATCCTGATCAGTCTGACAGTGAATAGGCTGTGATCGTACTCCTTCACCGCCTGATGTGAAAGCCAAAACCTGGAGACTGTAGTTGGTGTACTTCTGAAGTCCATGGAGGTGAGTCTCAGTGGAACTAGTAATTTTTGTGTCCTTTCTCTCTTCATCTGCAATATTGGGTTATAATATTTGATGATCATCAAAAAGGAAACTATATCAAAGATAAGATAAAAATAGCCATAATCATATTATAAAATATTTCCAAGATAAACACTTTCACTTTACTTACCATACCACTTGTCAGATGGTCCATAGATTACTTTGTATCCCTTGATCACTCCCTGTACAGTCTCAAGTGGAGGTGAGGCCCAAGACACACGGATGGTCTGAGAAGTCAGAGTTGTGCAGGTGACATCATGAGGGGGTTGTTGGGGGGTTCCTTCAGCTGTGTAGGAGCGGATTTCCTCAGTTGTGGGTCCTTGTCCAATCTTGTTGAAAGCAGAGACCACAACAGCGTATTCAGTGTACACTCTGTGGGGCATGAGGAATTTTAGGATGTGGAAACTACAAGACATATTATTGAATTAAAATTGCATATACTGCCAGATCAGTCAAAATTAACAGAATGTGAGCTCAGTCACAGAATCTTACTGCAGCTTCTTGATAGTCAGTTGATGTTCTTTGCCGACTTCCTTGCTGAATTCCACAGTTTCATAGACGTAAGAGGTATTAGATGATGCAAGACGGTAGCCTACTTGGTAGCCCTGGATGTCTCCATTCCATTCTTCCCTAAGAGGTGGCTTCCACTTAACACGGAGGGAGGTCTGGTCAACAGCTTCAACTTTGAGGTCACGTGGTGCGCCACTTGGTGCTGTAATAAGGAAAGGTCATAAGTCATCATGGTATATTTGTCACACATACGTAAATAATAACAATAAAAACAAAATTAATCAGAAATTAAAGACAGCAAAGCCTTTATGGAACATACATAAAATTCCAGACAAATTGTGACAGGTAATTATAATGATAATACATAATGAACTTAGAACCTTCTTTGTATATAGAATACTGAACTTGAATTTTCAATGAAAAGATCTTACCTTCCTCGGCAGTGATGATGGTCACAATGTCTGATGGGTCAGAATCGCCAATCTCATTCCTTGCAACAATACGGAGGTGATAGGTAGTTGCTGGGCGAAGATCCAAGACAGCTGCCATGTTCTGGTTTCCGGGCACCATCATGCGTTCACCATCATTTTCCCAGTTACCTATAAAGTACATAACAGTAATATTTTAAAATCACTTTCTATCTAATTATTTGAAAAATTAATGTCTATGTACTATATATTGCATAAAAACTATACTGTATTTGATATGTTGGCACATATTCAGTTGGGCACATTTCCATCTATATATATAAAGAGAGAGTATATATACGTCATACATCTGTGCATATATTCAATACTTACGTCGGCTAAGCTTATATTCCACAATGTATCGGGTAATAGGGGAGTTTCCATCATAGGGAGAGGTCCAAGACAGTTCCACTGATCGGCCACTCTTGTCGAGAACCTTAAGGCTGCTGGGTTGTTCTGGGTGTTCTGCAAACGTAAAAATAAAAGATACAATATCTGTTTCATATGGATATAAAAGAAATTTGGTATATATTACTTTACAGTGGATATTGGCAGTAGCTTAAATTTTCATTCTTGGACACAGATAAATATATAGTTGGATAGCTCTAAAAAAATCCTATGCAACTATTTCATTAATTTTCAAAATCTTTTTATCTCAACAACATCAAATAAGACAAGATAATTATAGAATTTGCATACCTTGAATGATGAGGTTAATGTTGGTATCTGCACTTCCAAAAGCATTGGTAGCCACACAGGTATAGACAGCAGAGTCAGTGCGGTCAGTTGTCTTGATGCTAAGACTGCTGTGAACACTGCCACCACGCATTTCTTCACGGATTGTGTACCTGGGAGGTTTTAAATAAGTAAGGGCCACTGTCTAAAAGCATCAGATATTAACATGTGAAATGACTCAGCCAAACTTGTTGGCTGCTAATAATCTGAAAATACGTACAGTATACTATGCTACATGTACTTACATATAAATACAAATAAATATTATTGCACCAGAAGTATAAAAACAGGCACAGAACTGGACTTGTACAATACAAAATAATTATGCATGCTACTGTTTATACATGACCAAAAAATACAACCAAATTTCAGTCATGTATAGTACCTTGGTTCAGCTGCTTGGTCAACACTGTGCTTGTCCTTGCTCCAGAGGATGCCAATGGGGGTTTCTCCTCCAGCCTCACATTCCAAAACAGCGTCATCTCCATGTCGTGCTGTCTGATTGCGGTACTGAATCTTGAACTGTGGGGGAGCTGAAAAGGTAGAATGGGAAAATAAGTGTATAGTTGGCACCTGATAATGAATATAATGAAGCACAAAAATTTCTCAAACAAGGAGGATAATAAATATACATACAACAGTTCCAAGATAAAGATTATGAGGACCTACCTTGGACCCTAACGTAGATAACAGTAGACAGTCCAGCACCAATGCCATTGTTAGCTTCACACAAGTAATATCCTTCATGAGATTTCTGAATACTGCTGATATGGAGAGTTCCATCATCGGTAACCTTAATATTGGGGTTGTTTACATCAAGATCGCGATAGTCACCAGGGGTATGTCCTGTTGAGAAGGAATGGAATTAGCAGATGAGTCAATCTCTCTCTCTCTCTCTCTCTCTCTCTCTCTCTCTCTCTCTCTCTCTCTCTCTCTCTCTCTCTCTCTCTCTCTCTCTTTCTCTTTCTCTTTTCTCTTTTCTCTTTTCTCTTTTCTCTTTTCTCTTTTCTCTTTTCTCTTTTCTCTTTCTCTTTCTCTTTCTCTTTCTCTCTCTCTCCCCCTAGATCCCTTGCCCTAGATCCCTTGCCCTAGATCCCTTGCCCTAGATCCCTTGCCCTAGATCCCTTGCCCTAGATCCCTTGCCCTAGATCCCTTGCCCTAGATCCCTTGCCCTAGATCCCTTGCCCTAGATCCCTTGCCCTAGATCTCTCTACTCCTCTCCCTCCACCTCTTCGTCTACTCTTCTCCCTCATTCACTTCAACTCAGCTTACTGGGAAAGTAAACCTTACTCATTCATGCATTCATTCTTTCACTTCCTCTTCCTCTTCCCTCCTCCTACCTTTTAGTACCTTTCACTTCACATCAATTTTACTTTTATATGCAAATCAACAAACCTGCAGCCTTCTTCCATCCGAGAGTGGGTCGTGGGAAACCATCAGCTTTGCATTCTAGCCTAGCATCACTGCCAAGAGCAAAGGCCTTGTCTGCAGGTTCCACAATCCAGCGTGGTGGTACTGTTGAAGCCATGCACAAAACATGTTAATTCTTGTATTGTGACCATGAGCAAGGTAACCAATCCCTCTAAAGTCTATAAGAGTGAAATCACATTTATGGTGAATCCAGTTTTACAGACTTGAGAAATGGTCTCTTACCCTTTTTATTTTCATGGAACAGTTATATCTCACTTCAAAGTTAATAGTATATGAAATCATTCAAACTGAAAAGACTTACTAATTTATTACTTTATAATTAATTTCATAATGAATGGAATCAGATCTCCAAATGTATATTTCAATCTATGGCAATTACTGAACAATGAATTTATTTTCAAGATATGTCCATACAAAATATCTTAAAATTAATGTTACAATCTTAAAATCTAAATAAAGCTAATCTAATTGAAGCAATCACTAATCATGCAAAAACACAGAACTAAAGAAAAATAACCAAATATACCCATTCTGTACCCTCAATAAATTGTTCCCATAA